TCACCGAACCACCAGCGCCTCCAGCCTTTGCGATCCACTACCCCAAAGTGTGCAGGCCGCGGCGCTTTAACAGCAAAGTCCCGTGGCCGATAGCTGGGCCAAGTACTGGCGGTTTAAGAACATCACCCATTCAAGCTATACACGCGCACGTAGTGCGATTTGCAGATATTGAGATCTTCGGTTGTTCCTCCACTCCTCATCTACACGATGGAATAGTACCTGAAAGAAGGGGAGAGGAGGGGGCAGTTAGAGGTGGACAGGGCGCACAGGCATGACTCTAACCAACATCGCTTGGGTCCAGAGGACTGACCCAATAATTGATGAGGACTAGGGGGGAAGGGGGATATTGATTTGCCAAATTTTGCCTCCACTAAAAGACAAAAAATTAGGCAGAGTAAAAACATTTCAAGGGACTACCTTCTTCCCCCGAATACAACGTACGGCGATTATAGCTGTATTCGGGGTATCTTTCAGTCTAAATACAGCTATAATCACCGTACGTTGTATTCGGGGGAAGAAGGTAGGCAGTTCAAACTTCAAACCCGCTACATTTACTGAACTCTAAATTCTTTTTGAGCCTGATGGACTCGTACCTGTCCAGGCTGTCCTTACCACGCGCCAGGTAGATTGGGAATGCACCCCGCTTGTGTACGATGGCGGGCTTTGCACACCGGGGGTCCATACCAGTGGTTTCAATTCCAAGTACATTTCCCAGCCGTTTTTTCTCCGACGAGATGCGCATGCAGCCACAAGTGTCGGGTATCGGCCTGCCGGAGAAAAATGGCTGGTGGCGCCAGCCAAAGGAAACCAAACCGGTTTCTTTTTTACTGGCGCGCAGGGCGTTTCCCGGCTCGCCAAGGGAAGTGTCAAAAGTGCTTGTGGATAAAGCCCAAACAGGGGTATTCATGTGCAGCAAGAAGTCTAGGATGGGGATTATGTCGGTATATCCACGATGTGATCCCTGCCTGCCACCTGGACAGTATTTTGGGGTTTAAGCCCCCAGTACCTTTCCCAGGCAAAAAAAAAAAAAGGTCGCTACGTAACACAAAGGCCAGATTCGGCCTCCGCCGACGGCCACATACATCGGCCACCCTTGGTGCGCAGGGCCCGCGGCTGATTTGTATGAGAAAGGTACCGGTGTCTTAAGAATCCGATTTCGTTTTTGGCCATCATTGACTGTAAAGGCAAACGCAAATCTTTCCTTGTACTTTTGTCTAGGCCACAGAAGGGTGAAAAGGTAGGAAGAGAAGAGAACTCAATATATATTCGCAGCCTTTGGACCACAAATCAGTAGATCCCCCACCCAACAGACAGATGTGTCATCATCCAAGGAGATGGGAGAGGGACCGGGGGGGGGGGGGGGGGGGGGAGGTTAAAAGAAAAGATCGAAAAGTTTGAAGTCCGGAAAACCAACATCGGCGCCCTCTCTGATCTGTCAAAGCAGAACTAAGAAAAAATACTTGACATCAGCTCTCTGATCTCAATTTTCATATAGTGGGGCCTCAGTGAACCGTACTTCTCGTCATTTCTAATAGAAAGTTCATAAGTACAAAAGACACCAGAACAGCAAACTATAAACCCCAACAGCTGCAGAGAACGCCTAATAAATACCCAGTCTGACATCCCATCCCTCAATAGTGATACAATTAATGACAGATGTCTGCAACACTGAGAATGCAAAAAAAAAAACGAAAAGAAAAAATGTGAACCTTGTATGTGGCTACATAGCACATGCCTAGTGGGCGACAAAGCAATCCAAATCATAGCCATCATCACCACCAAGCTTGGGGCAAAACCACACACGCACACGCACACACTCGTGCATGCATGCAAGAGAGAGAGAGAGAGAGAGAGAGAGAGAGAGAGAGAGAGAGAGAGAGAGAGAGAGAGAGAGAGAGAGAGAGAGAGAGAGAGAGAGA